GTGTGTGTGTGTGTGTGTGTGTGTGTGTGTGTGTGTGTGTGTGTGTGAGGGCATCTGTCTGTCTGTCCACGGCTAATCTCACATACTACCAGACCCATCAGCCTAATATTTTCGGTGTTCATTTAGGACTGTATGCTCAAGGACCTCTCAAAGTTGCAGTGATCCAACACTTTTTCAAAAACCTTTTTTATCGACTGTTTTATACCGTCACTGACTGCCGAATCCTCTTAACCGGCCGGTACGAACTGCTAGCGATCAGCAACTGCTTCAGACCTTCACCAGTACCAAGTGCACATTTCTAGTTGCAACACCAAACATATGTTAGCTCGGCCGTGTGACTGTGGTCATGTGACGCTCTGGAACAAACCTGAGCGAGCTTCACACAGAGTGTCCCTGAGCTGCCCTCCATACCTCACATAGTTCCACACATTTTGTCGTTAGCTTTTTGTTTTCAAAAGTGCCTTTTTTTATTACAAAATATATGATATAGTATATTGCCTCGGTTTGTCCTTTGCTGAAGACAGAGCTGAAGTCCCACAGCAGCTGTCATTTATCTATGAGAACTGAAGTCATAATCAATGTCATTTTTTTTTCAATTTCAATTTGCTTTATTGGCAAACAGACAAATCAATACATCCATGTTGCTAAAGCATAGGGAAGAAAGGCCAGACGTAAATAAGAAAGAATAAATACATCAAATAATAATGAAAGTAAACATTAATTAATTAACACATTTCTTAATTGAATTACCTAAACTTGGTATACAAATACTGCACATATCCCTCAATGTAATACTGTATGTGTATACATCTTGAACATATACTTATAGATATATTGATGAGATCAACTGTACATATTATATATTATATCATGTGTGATATTCTTTTTCTCTTATTTATTTTGCCAGGAGAAGACATATCTAGCTGTGTAGTACTTTTATCTTCCCCCAACAACAACGTGTGTGTGTGTGTGTGTGTGTGTGTGTGCGTGTGACAGCTCCAGGTGTGAGGCTGTACTTACACAGCATCTCTGTGGGAGCCACGCTCACTCTGTCTCACACACACACACCTTTCATAGCCATGATGAATGAGTCCATGTGCATGTGAAGAGTCAGCACATTTTTTTTTGTATACCAGCCAAGTGTGTGTGTGTGTGTGTGTGTGTGTGTGTGTGTGTGTGTGTGTGTG